GCACATGGGGTGAAGCTAGCCACGTATTCTGGAAAACTCGTGGAAGGTATCTAGGCGGCGTTATCATGGTTCTTGATGATATCTAATCTAAGTCTAGCTAAGTCTAGCTCCACAGTCTAAACAATCGAGAATGTGGTTCAGTCACGATGGGTCCCTCCCCTCTGCGGCAGCGTCCACCAGCTTCCGAGCGTCCGAGCTGGGAAAGTATAGATATCGATCCAGCGTCTGCTACCGTCTACCAGCGTTCACCTGCGTCTACCAGCTTCTCGAGGTCTAGGGAAGTGTAGGTATCGAACGAGCGTATACCATTATCTGGGAGAGGAGAGTATTGCGCTACAGAAGGGTAGCAGACTGCTGGCAGAGAGTATGGCGCGATAGGAGTTCAACAGACCGCTTTAGGGTATGGCACGATAGAAGGCTAGAAGACTGCTGACGGAGTACGTGGAAATAGGAGGGTAGCAGGCAGTAGAGTGTATGGCGCGATAGGAGGGTGCCAGCTGTCTGCCACCCTCGTATCGCGTCCTATTCCTCTCTTCCGGACGTGGTAGACGCTATATCGATACCTATACTTCCCAGGCCCTAGAAACGCTGGTAGACGCTGGTATACGCTGGCGAACGCTTGCAGACGCTGGTGCACGCTGGTGGACGCTAGATGATATCTATGCTTTCCCAGTCGCTAATGAAGCGTTAGTGGACGCTGCCGCGAAGTATGAACACGGTTTATGCTATTTTTGTCCAAAGTAACCCTTTGAATGAAAATTCACTGGAGTCTTTTTGAGCACGTCATCTCATCATATGTGTTTCGGGAAAGAACAATTTATTTCGGAAGACTACAACCTAATTTTCCAGTGGAAACAAAAGATTTGATGTTATGCTGAGTGGCAGCAAGGGTTCGTTGCACCCATGAAAACCGTTGAAGTTTTCGTAAGCGAAATATAGTGCATAGAAGGGCGCTTGTGCTAGAGATCCTCTACGCAATGCTTTCTTAATGTTGCCTTCAGAAGAATACGCTCACTCTGATATTATAAGAATTCCATCATAGTTGATTCATTGGCTTTGAACAATGGCATAAAAAGGACTGCAAAAGTGTAAGTATGAGGGCGCATGTGTCGTCAAAATGCTGTACGAAAGGTTGATGGACATTTTTTTGGTTGTAAACACATGCAGGTAGTATTCTTAGAATGCATATCAAGGCACTTCAAGTCAATTTGATAGGAAGCCTAACACAAGAATGTGAAAACTAGTTCACGGAAGTGCCCTCATGCCGACAACAGCTGCGTTGGTGAGGCTCCTACCAGTAATAAATAGAGGTTGAGGGGACGCAGACGCTTTTGCTATAAGGACAGTACAGTCCGTAACATCGCAGAGGGGGTTCAACAAGGATTGAATGAGCCCAGCTGCGGTGGTCTCGCCACTGACGTTTTCTACCAAAATCGGTGTATGCCGTGTCTTTGGTCGCGGAAGAAGTGCACTGGTATTCGATGACTCTTGACCATACGAGATGTTGGTGTTACGTGATGTTGGTCAAGCACAGCATTTCGAAGAATCATGGGAAAATGCACTTGGCACAGCGATGCTTACGTTGTGCCAGGGGACCACCAGTTCATATGATAGTTCACAGCGCAATAAATGTGTGACAGCTTCAGCCCGGACCAGCGTATCTTCGAATTCTGCTGGCCCCAAGTGCTGACTTTGCTGAGCACACGACTTGCGCTACAGAAAATCAGATGGATATCGAGGAGAGACGCGAAAGTATATTTGTTTTTTGATAAGCAAAGGGCGTGATTTAACGAACGAATTTGACTGCCTTAAAACTCTTAATCACCAGCCACACGCGAGGAAAGCAGCTGAATAACCGCTCCGAAGTGTATTAAGGATGCTTCAGCGGATTTCTGCATGTTTTATGGATATGGCTGACTCATCAGAGCCGTAGACTCCGTTTATGGAGATGACCCTCAGCTTCTGGGAAACCTCGAACCGCAGCTGCAGTCTTGTAAGACTCTGGCTTGAAGTTCGGAGATTCCCTCAAGTGCGGTCTTACTGCGACTGTAGCTGCAGCTTTCAGTCGCTCCCCATCTTTATGTTTTCTCTTCATGATCTTCCCACTTTACAGACATGAACGTGGTTTAAAGCTTTGAGCAGAACCTTTCCATTGAACCGAATTTTTTCAGTACCACAGAAGGCAGCGAGCCATTCATCGCCTGGTTGAACAGTTATCCGCCGGAAAGGTACTCGTTTGTACTCTCAATCGACCCTAATCAATATTGTGGCTACCGTGATCACTTTAGAATTTCCTAATGTTATGTATTCTGATTATCTTTCAGGTGGTTATTGGATATGATATCCTTAATAAGTATCTGATTCCTATTGTCCTACCGTATCTCGCCAATACCGAGAGCAAACTGTCCGGTGACTACTACCCATATCTTTCATCATTTTTCGATGTGAAAAAATTCTAACTGGACAAAGATGAAACAATATTGTGACTTTTTAGCACTGTCCGATGAGGCCCTCAGCCTTCTGAATTATACAATGGGAATCGCTTCATGGCCAAAATACGCGGCTTGCTTGGATTCATGGTTGAAGCAGTTGGACAGATCAGAGGAAAATCAGAAGGCGATAATCAGGTGAGAGGCTCCCTGGTGGAACAGTATTCTGGGAACTACTTTTCTCTATTTTCCGTGCCTTCTCGTTTTAAGTTCCTATACTGAACAAAAGTTTAAGGGTTATTGTTGCCGTTGTGGAAGCGTTCCATTATGATGTGGCTGATATAGGAGAAACTGTTAGCGAAGAGGCGGCGAATGAAACTCGAGTGGTCATTCGGGATAAACTCCTTCGAGAGCTCTTACCAAAGCTGTCTAAGTGTATCAATGGAAAGGTCAGCTACTGTTCGCATTCAAGGAGTGGACACGATGAATGGGAGCGGACGGTTGTCACCAACGTCATCGGTGGAAGGGTTGAGCAGGAGTGGCTTCTCGCGGCCATCCCACCAATGACGCTGGCAACATCCGCCCGCCTCCAGCAATTAAGTCCGCTGCCTCAAAATGGAGAAATTATGTTTCACCTATGATTAATCAAGCCTCAGTAATTCTGAGGTGGCGTGCACAAAAGGTTTCTAGAAAACGTAACTTTTAGAGGTTTACTTGTCTTGTTTTTTTTCGGGCGCACTGAAAGAGGTATAAGTCTTGTTCGCTGCGGATGCTGGAGCGTGTCAGGAGGCCAGGTTTGGCGTGGCGCAGCCCGTTTTCCCTCAGTTGCTAGAGAGGGCAAGCTACATCAACTGGTGGAGCATGGGTGGGGGGGGTGGAGGCTCTACGTCAAATCGAGCGTCATTGACACCCCCAGAATCCGCTGCAAACGATATTGTACTGTTGAAGTGATTGTCTTTTTTCAGTCCGCGGAGCTGAGTGTCCATCGCAAGGCGCGCACGACGGCTACCAAACACTATAGCGAAGACGACGATATCAAAAGAGCACCGGTTGCTTTGGCCACTGTGAAACTGTTGCAGAAAGTCCCTGAAAGCATTCGCTCGCAGTATCTACACGGGTATTGTTTGCCATAAGTGGCTTCAAACAAAATGATTAGCTGAAAATTGCTTTTCGTTGACATGAATCCCTTCATTTCAGAGCGATTTTGAAGCTGTGTTCGCTGATGATTTCACGATCAATGAATGTTCGCGAAACGGCACGAAAAGTCGGAGTGCAAGTCTGTGAATGTCTAGGACCGCGGTATCTTCCAGTGATCATAAAGGAGATGAAGCTTATAATGAAGAAAGGTTTCCAGGTCAGCGGACACTTGCATCATAAACCCACCGCTTTTACACCAAGACTCGGACTTTCAGGTTCACGTGATGATCTACACGGTGCACACCTTTATAGCCGCCATGCGTGATGTCCTAAAAACAGGAGGACTTGGATGCCTGCTTGGATGATGTTATAGACGTTAGTTTTTCTTGAAAGCGAGCTGCACATCTGTACATCACGTCTGTGGATCCTGATCCTTGCCATGTATAAAGTGAATGGGTCCTCAGCTGCAATAGCGTGCCACTTTCTCCGGGCGAAAAAAACACGGAAACGGGCCGTGAGGGTGGTGACATCCAGATGCTGTCTCTATACTTTGCCCTATCTGCCTCAGGCCATTCACATGCCTAACCATAGCCAAGCGCACTATTTGTCGGCACTCTCTCACTTCTCGTTGCCCTTTACCGCTGGGCGCGCGCTACGCTGAAAGATTTTGGTATCGAGGCAAAAGCTGCACATTGAGGATGGAGGATCGAGATAGCACCCGGATACGCTCCAGACCTGTTGCGGTGCACTTTTGAGCGGAAAAAGAGGTACGCTAGCAGCTGCGACCAATTCACATCGTACATGGAGAGGACCATTTACAGTTTAAAAACATTAATCCAGACCGCTGGCAACCCTGAGTTTGCTTGAACCCCCTTTTTGAACGAATGGTAGAACTCATGTAATTCCCTGATAGGAGGACGATGGGATACCATTTGGAGGACCTGTCGATCGCAACGTCTATTTTATTTTGCCATCATACTGGCTTCGTGGCGAATGCAATGCTTCGTAAACGTGCTGTCCCGAATTTTTACCAAAAAGAAATTTGGACGAGAGGAAAGTATGGTACTGATTGTTAGTAGTGTTTTCAGCACTCAGACCTCTAAGAGGCGTTTTTTGGAGGTATATCTTGGTTGGAGGAGTATATCGCAGATGGTCTTGAAATCGGAGAGAGCCCACATTTGAGCGGACCATTGGCGATCTCGATGTGCTTTTTTCACAAAATTAGACATCGGTAGATCTCTGGGGTAGCCAGAATTTTTCGTATCCGCGCGATGCGAAAAACGATTTTTTTTGCGTACTGTTACCTTTTCTAATACCACATACTTTAGATTGTTGTGAAGGAGCAGTTCGAGGACGTGTCTGAGGAGAAAGAAGTCGGAGAAATCAAGGCAGAGGTTAGCGAGGCTAAGAAAAATCCGACGCCAGGAACCCTCCTTCTGCTTGGACGTTACGTCTCATCATCGGTGGTTGGCACGTTCCTGAATCGTTTCGTGTGAGTGCTGAAGTCGCTACATATTGCGTTTGTTATCGTCAAGATCATTTCAAATCTGTACTATTTTGTTAAGGGGGTTTTTGGAAAGAAGCCAACATATGTTTGCTTTCAGGACTGTTGTGGACACCCTGACTTCTGCGAAAATGATCTCGCGCGCAAGAAATCTTCTGTCTATGTTTGCCAATGGTCTCAAAGATAATCGAGGTTCGACTTATTACGGCATATCCAGCATTACGCCTAGAATGAGAGGAAAGGCCTTGCTCTTACCACGACTTCTTCGTCCTCATTACATAGCTCTAGCTTCCAAGCTCCTCTATTTATGAATGCCATAATTCTTATTTATGGCTGCCATACTTCTAGGTTTCTCTCCATGTTCACAGCTTATCCTCATCCACCAGATGATCACGACAAATATCGATAAGATGCGAGTGGTTCCTGACAGTCAACAACAACAGGATGAACTTCTGGAGAAACCAAAGAGCTGTCTGCTTCTACCGCCTGTTAGTCCTTTTTTACA